TCCATCCCTGCCACAAAGGCCATCAAATTATGTTTAAAATAAAAAATACAGTAGAGAAGGCAGAGTATCCATCCATCCATCCATCCATCCATCTCCCTTTCTCCATATAGGCTATTATTTGGTCGTTCACGCTCTCCATAGTTCTTCTGTGGCGCGCCTTTAGCGAGCATGCGCGTTTCCTGTCGCTTGCGCGGTGAATCGTGCCGCCTGCGCTGTGCGGAGATGCAGTGGAAACCGCATCTGATGGGGAAACGCAGCTCGACGTAACACCGGTATTTCCATGTGGAAAACGTTTTGCTGCAGGAGTCCTCCTGACTCTCCATCTCTCTGTGTGTGCTGTACGTTAACACCCGCCAGCAGAAACACCCACCTACCCAACTGACAGACGGAATCTCACTATACATCAGCCATTCTCATCCTACCCTCTCTCATGACAAGGCGTGCACGAGTCCTACCATGAAAAAAAGGTTCATTGTGCGACCTGAGTAACGCGCAGTAACGGGGTGTCTGCAATGGTAACTGCGTTATAGTTACAGTCAAAGTAATTAGTTAGATTACTCGTTACTAAAACAAGGTAACGGCATTAGTAATGCCGTTACTTTAAACGCTGTTAGTCCCATCACTGGTCCTGTTTATGCATTTATTCAAGCTTTTATAACTTTAAGGTTAAATATCTGTCAATAAAAACAGAGGTTTAGATGTCTAAATTTGTACAGTAAACGACAGTCAAAAACGTAACAAATATAAGATTTTATATATATATATTTATATAAGATTTATATAAGTCTTAATAATTTTTTTAAGTAATTCAGTCAAAACATTAAAAAAAAGAACTTATTATCTTCTCTCTAACACAGATAGTTTATCCAATAATAACTTTAAATATTTACTAATAATTACTCACTCCTTTTACTATGATTGCACTTATTTAATTCTACATTTCTGGATATAATTTTTATCATTTTGTCATCAGGTCCCTTTTTGAAAAGATTTGTTTTTAATTAGCTTTATATGAATCAACTAAATGTAATAATTAATGCATTTACTGATCACTTTTTGTTAAAATAAACCGTCCTAATTATAAAATCACCCCGGATGTTGAACCCTGTCTTACCTGAAAGACATAGAAAACCACACGGCCATCATCATGTAGGTGGTCCGACGGTACTCAGGGGAGAAAATGGTTTGGAAATTATTCCACACCTAAAAGGATACAAAAGGAAATGGAGGAAATGATTTTGCACGGCCAAAAAGAGAGTAAATGGTCAGAAAACATCTTTCAGAGCGATTTTTAGTTGATCGAATTATGAATTTCAGGTCCGAATGGTTCTAAAAAAAAAAGAATAAACACCAGAAATCCTGCAGAAAAACGAAAAAGTAAAATAAAAAAATATAAGCCCAAAATCTCAAAGAAAAGAATTATAAGTTTGTTTACCTGGTGAAAAACTGCGGCCAGTTTTAACCTCCATTTCTGATGCCAGGCAGCGGTATCACTCATGTTCATCAGCTCATCAAACTGTTTCACCGTTTTAATGGTGGTCACCTGGAGGCAACAGATCGCTCCTTTAATGCTTCATTTTTATCAGAGATCGGATTTAGTGGCTTTCTGTGAAACTTACAGAGAAAACTCTTTCTGGGTAACCTTTGGCCCTCATGTTGGTGTCGTGGACCTGCTTCAGAATCATCCAAGCCTCATCATGCTTCCCGTTCTGCAGGAGGAAAACAAGACAACTACCTAGAACATTCTCATGTCTGAGAATCAGACACCAGACAAAATGTTATTGAAATAACTGCTGATAAAAACATATCTGTAGATGTCTAAATTTGGACATGAAAGTCAAAAATGTGGGGGAAAAAATTAAGATTTATACTTGCTCCTAATTATCGACTCATAGATACAAAGGAGATTTTTAATTTATAATAGATGAGGATCTTCATCAGATCTTCATCTGTGAGAATACAAGTTTAAAAACTCCCCAAATATACAAGTATAAATTCTGGTTATTATAGCTGCAATTTATATGTACAAATAAAAAAATTATGGAGTACAATTTACAAATTTATGAAAAAAATAAAAATCTCTTAAAGCAAAGATATAGAATATGTTTGAACGTCTGCCCTAATCACTATATAGGGCTCTCTATAGTGGTTATGCCATTTTAAATGTGCAGAGGTCACAGATTAGCGGACTGGGGTCCTGATCTGGATCCACCTGCAGGCTAATCTGGACCCAACCTGGTTTTAAACATTTATAAATTACTGCATGTTGTTTGACAAAAGTATCTAACTTCACTTGCATTGCTTCTTCTGTTAAAGTCATTGAGAGCGTCCAGCTTGGGATACAAATTAGCCAATGAGCTGCTGTCAGTCTGGGTTGCTGCTGCAGCTACTGTTAGACACAGCAGGCAAACCTCTGGCAAGCCGGGCGATGGGAAAATACGGAGCCCCTAAAGGGACATGGAGGAAAAAATAAACTTTGCGAGATCCCACAATACTTTTGCGAGATCTGGCCAAAGTTCTTTTTTCCCCTCCATGTCCCTTTAGGGGCTCCGTAGGAAAAAGAAAGCAGAGAAATGTGTAGACTGCTGGAAAAAGCGCTTTGAACTGGTGAAAGCAGGATTCTCCACCATGAATATAATAAAAAAATAAATATCGATCCAGGATTTTGGATGAGCACCTTGATATGTGCTTGAGAATGGCTTTGATCTGCAAGGTCAGCCTGAAGCTTTCTCATTCAGGCATAAAAAAGGAAAGAAAGAAAAAAAAAAGTGAGTTTAGGTGTTTTATAAAAGATATGAAAGTCAGGAAATCATCTATATATCGAACTATGAAAGATTGTTTTTAAAAGCCCACATTCTTATCTTCAGCTACCACAGTATACATGTCAGATTAGATAATACTATTTATACTTCAGCGATAGTATCAAGGTGTTACTTTAGTACATCTCTTATACTATATCCTTTGGTTGTGCCTTTCTTTTTACATCTCTTTGCAGGTGATGAAGCAGACTGAAGATGTTTTATCATTGTTCCCCGTTTTATCTCCTCTTTCTTTCCTCTTTTCTCCTTTTTTTTCCTGTTTTTCTATTTCTATTGCAGTGTTCATATAATCTGTAAAATTCCCTGCATGAATTATAATAAAGCTATTTATATGCATAAATCAAGCGGAACACTATGGCGATAGCCGTACTACTTCACTTTTGAAAGCAAAATCTGTTGGGCTCTTTTTTGGCATCAAGACAATTATTCTTATTGCCACATCGCCAGACAGGACACTGTTAAAAAAAGCAACAAAAAAAAAAGATTTAGATGTTAAAATGAAAAAAAAAAAATTATTTTTTATTTTTTTTATTTAAAAAATCTAAGTATAACATGGATTCATAAACACCTCATTTTATTGGTTGTTGATTTTCTTTTTTCGAACCCCACTCATTTTTAATTAATGATCCCTGTCGCTACCCGATCCGTACCGGAAGCACGATCCGTACCATCAGCTCATTTGCGCGTGCGCAAGCAGAACAACTTCCGGTGGCAATATTTCCTTTTTCTTACTTTTTTATTCTTTTGTATTTTTTAGAGGCATTAGTTTCTTTTTGTATATCTTTGTATTTTCGTCAATATTGCATTTTCTAAAAATAAAAAAACAGAAATACATAATAAAATAGTTCAAACGCCTTGTGATAGTTACTTTCACTGCTCTGAGCATGCGCAAATGTACGTCACACAGCGTATATATTTAAATTTGTTTAAATATTTGATTTACTCTATATTTAACTATGCATTAGATAAACGTTACGCAATAATATATTCCCAGACTGCTCTTAGCATGTCTGATGATGACGTTTTCTTCCTTTTCTTCCAGAAAAGTCTTCAATATTGTCTTTACGATGTAGTTTAGTATTCTTTAAATATTTAAGGATATAAATAAAGTTTTTTCAGTATCGTAATTACATTATTTTTTGACGACCCGGAAGTTATTCTGTTTGCGCAGGCGCAAATGAGCTGATGTTACGGATCGTGCTACCGGTACGGATCGGGTAGCGACAACCCCTGGTCTATTGGATGAAAAAGTAGTGGACTCCAAATTTCCCACAATGCACCTTGAAAAGTAGTGATCATCCAATGTCTCGCAAAGCATTCTGGGATTTGTCACAGCGGCCCACTGTCGCTACACGACAACAACAAGATGGCGCAGGCACTGCGGTGGAGGCGGAGTTAGTTGACCAGCGGGGGAGTGAACAGTCAGTTAACTGAGTTCACTATAAAGTCCACCTTATAGTCCGCGCTCTATATAGTGATTGAGGGATTTAGGGGTTAGGGCGGACGTTCAGACACTGCCATATTATAATATAGCAGAATAGAATAGAATATAAATGTTTCATACTTCCAAATGTGTGATTCAAACTTATACATTTGTGCTTTGACAAAGTTGTATGTGTCTAAATAGTTTTTATAACTCCTACACTTATATTCTCACATATCAAGATCTGATCTCACATGTATCTATGGGTTAATAACAAGAAACACAGAGTACAACTCTTGCATATATTTACTATTTTGACTTTCATTCACAAACTCATACATCTGCTTGTTTGTATTGACAGTAAAATAACCCCATACTTTTGAAATTAACGTTACTGAGTAAATATTGTTGGAAAAATATCATTCAAAGCCAAGTTTATCTTTGGTGAATCTTCTCTGTTGTCTGCATGGAACGTTATCCCCGAATAAATGACTCCTCTGCTTTGTTTTTTATAATAACCTCTAATTTATTTTTATATATGTTTCATAAGGTCCATTGTTGTTGTTGGAGCGAGGTGGAAGCTCACCTCCAGGTAGAAGCGTGGGCTCTCAGGCATGGTGCTGAGTGCAGAGATGGCGGCCACAGACGGGAAAGCACACACCAGCACAAAGACTCTCCAGCTGTGGAACTGGTAGGCTGAGCCCATCTGAAAACTCCAGCCTGCACAGGCAGAGACAAACAGGGGAAAGTGAAACCAAAGTTCCCTCACAGAACCCAGAAAAAAATAAAATGTTGAAACATATAAAATACCTTTAGGGGAATTAAAAAGACAAAAATCCCACGTAAACATTTTGGGAATTACTCCTTCTTTCAGAGATGGATCTCAGACTGCTTTTCTCTGTTAAATCTTTACCAGCTTACAGGTTTTTAGACATATTTATCTCTGGCAGTTGAGGCGGTAATCAAAGAAGGTTGATTTTGTGTCTGAATAACCTTTTCTGTTTTAATTTAACTCCAAGTTTTGGATCTGTATGGTGACCCAGCAACAATTACTAGTAGGCATTCTCTGCATCTTTCCCTTATGCAGGATTGTGTTGCCACAGCAACCGGGGACATTTTCCCATGAAAGTTTGGACCATTGTGGACCATTGCCCCAATACAGGCTTGATTAATCGCACAGCAGCAGGGGTGGACCTAATTTTTTGGTTTTGTTTCTCTTTTCAAGTCTTAGGGAAGCGGCTGATCCAACTGTTGCAGTTCCAAATTCTCCCAAGTGGTGCACGACTTCACACGAGGGATTGTTTTGTGGCAGAAGGGTCGCAAGCAAGTTTGGTTGTGGCTGCTTTTTCAGAAGCATCTTGCTAACTAGTTAGCAACCTAGTGCTAGTAGGTTCCCAATGGGAAATTCCATTGAGACCAAGTAGCACTAAGTTGCTAACCAGTTAGCAACTCAGTGCTAGTAGGTTCCCAATGGGAAATTCCATTGAGACCAAGTAGCACTAAGTTGCTAACCAGTTAGCAACTCAGTGCTAGTAGGTTCCCAATGGGAAATTCCATTGAGACCAAGTAGCACTAAGTTGCTAACCAGTT